TTTTATGTTTCCGTGTCCCATGTACCTATTTATACATTCTCTCCCCCACTCCACCCCAAGACAGGATTTCTCTGTGTAGCCCTGGCTGACCTGGAACTCACTTTGTAAATTTCCTCCTATGGCGATCTAGATGATCTAGAAGATCTAGTAAAGTCTATAAGGTCTAATAAGTTCTAAATAGATCTTGAAGGTCTAGGAAACTAAAATGTCTAGTAAGATCTAGAAGGTTAAGAAAGTCTAGGAAGCCGGGCGATGGTGGCGCACGCCTTTAATCCCAGCACTCAGGAGGCAGAGGCAGGTGGATCTCTGTGAGTTCGAGACCAGCCTGGTCTACAGAGCTAGTTCCAGGACAGGCTTCAAAGCCACAGAGAAACCCTGTCTCGAAAAACCAAAAAAAAAAAAAAAAAAAAAAAAAAAAAAAAAAAAAGTCTAGGAAGGTCTAGAAGGCCTAGAAGATCTAGTAAGATATAGGAGGTCTAGAAGGTCTAGTAAGATCTAGAAGGTTAAGGTCTACAAAGTCTAGAAGGTCTAGGAAGGTCTGGAAGGTATAATAAGATCTAGAAGGTCTACAAAGTCTAGAAGATCTAGTAAGATATAGGAGGTCTAGGAAAGTCTAGAAGGTCTAGGAAGGTCTAGAAGGACGATCTAGAAGACAGTGACTGTTTCTATTGACTTGTTTTCTTCCCCTTTAGGATTTAAATCGGATGAGAAGTGAATTGCTGGTGCCAGGGTCACAGCTTGTTTTAGGGCCTCAAGAATCCAAGATTCCTATTCTTTTGATCCAACAGCCAGGAAAAGTGACTGGCGAAGACCGGCTGGGCTGGGGAAGTGGCTGGGATGTCCTCCTTCCCAAGGGTTGGGGCATGGCTTTTTGGATTCCATTTGTAAGTTGCCTTTTGATTTCACCCAATAGTTGCACTATTTAAAACACAGTGATTCACGTATTAATTGTACAGCTACTCTGCGATATTTCCATATGCGCTTGCTTTACGTGTTGATATCCACCTGTCTACCCTTGTCCCACATACTCTCCCCAGGCACCTCCCACACCCTAGTCATAAACAATACTAAGTTTTTGAAGTAGAATGATTTTATTTTTAAATAGTAGTAACAATAGCTGGGTGGTGGTGGTGGTGCAGGCCTTTAATCCCAGCAAAGGTAGGCGGATCTCTGAGTTCAAGGCCAGCCTGGTCTTCCTAACTGAAGCCAACATTTTTATTAAAATCTGTGTTGTGTGTATTTTCCGGTTAGCTTAAGCACGACTCTGCTAGAGATGGTAAGAGGCGTGCCGGTGTCAGACTCGTGCAGGTAGTTAATTTTTGGCAATTATGCCTAGTGCAAGGAGCAGTCTGTTAATCATTCAGGAAGGGTTTATTTTATTTTATTTTTTTAAGTTGTTCCACTTAATTTCTTTTAATTAAGTATTTTTTTTTTTTTGTCTGTTTTCGTCAGTGCTAGGAGTTGAACTGAAGGTCTTAGCAGGCTAGGAAACACTCTCTCGTGTAGCTCCATCCCCCAGACCATTAGGCATTATTTCATTCACATAGAAAAGATAAGGTCCTATGTACTGAGGGGCTGTGCACCTTTGGCCTGCTGTCCCACTTAGAAAATTAAGTGTACAGGTTCACTGGCAGGGCCTCACGTCTGGCACACCAGTCTCCCCGCTCCTGAAGTAATACCATTATGATTTTGGTGTTTGCTTTCCTCAGTGCATGCTCTCATACCTTTAACAAATGTGTGTATCTCTGTAAAGTACATGTTTTTAGGCTCTACGCCTTATTGTGTGTGTGCTTCTGCAACCTGTGTTATTCTCTGGGTACTGAGGATTTTTCCACGTGTATTGAAGTCCATTCATTCATTATTGTGTGGTGTTTGGTTATAGGATTGTCCTAGCATGCATTTACCTGTTATCTTTTTTTTATATTTATTTATTATGTATACAATATTCTGTGTATATGCCTACAGGCCAGCCACCAGACCTCATTACAGATGGTTGTGAGCCACCATGTGGTTGCTGGGAATTGAACTCAGGACCTCTGGAATAGCAGGCAATGCTATTAACCACTGAGCCATCTCTCCAGCCCACTGTTATCTTTTTGATGGTCTTTTAGCTTATTTCTCATTTTAATATTTTAGGATTAATCCTTGTAGCTTATTTAGACAGTTAAACAATTTCATTTCAAGTCAGTAAACCGATAGGGCCTCTTGTCGTTTCTTTTAGATCTACCGAGGTGCAAGAGTTGGGGGGTTGAAAGAGACGACAGTGCATTCTCAGTATCGAAGATCACCTAACATCCCAGGTGACTTCCCAGACTGCCTTGCTGGGGCTCTGTTTGCTGAAGATCAAGCTAAGGATCTTCTAGAAAGCTACAAAAGGTAAGGAAGGGACTCTCTTCTGGCCTGTCTCCAGGAATGAGAAGCGTCTGCTTGAATCACCTAATGGCTCGGGGAGCATCGCAATTGCTTCCCTTTGAGTTCTTTCTCTCTTACCAAGAGGTGGTTGAGAAGCTTTAGCCAGGAGCTTCTCTGTTGGCCTTTGCAGGCCCATCTGGTCCAGCCCTTCTTTTGGTTACTTTCTGACTTGTGTGCTGGACATCTGAACTGAGACAAGCATTTCAGAGGCTTGCTAATAGATCTTACCCCACCCCACCCCACTCTTGTGGAGATTCTGCTTTAAAAGGCTCATTTATAAGCGTTTAATGAAACCATGGAGGTGGATAGAACACTCTATACTGCTACAGTTCTGCTGTCCAAACAGACATGCGCTGTTTTTGATATTTTAGTTTTTATCCTTGTAGTCTCTGATCTTTTGTTGGAAATGAGTGGATGAGGGCCTCTATTTCTGATATATAGAGAAGTGGACCATAGGTCTCTGTATTCCCGTTAAACTCTAGGCTCCCGGAAGCACAGAAACTCCCTCTCGTGAGTGGTGCCTGTGGATCCAGCCATAGACCGTGTGCGGTCGGCCTCACTAATGTTTGCTGTTTGACGAACGAGTAGACAGTTGGATGTTGCGGTGACTTTGCTGGGAGCACCAGGAGGGCTAAGTTGGGAATCCCCGCTCATTACCACAGCCACAGAGACAGGCAGGGGTCTGGCCTGTTTGTTGAGTGATAGATGAGTGACTTAGTGGCTGAGTCGTAACTTGATCCTGCACCAGGTCACCAGCAGTCGTGGGTTGTGTGTCTGTGTGCCTCCCGGACTGTAGCTGAGGGGCCTGTAGCTCAGTTTTCACTATTTAGACTTTTTCACACTATTCTGAGACCTGACCTTTCGATTTAATCATATATTGTGTTGGTTTCCATATCAACAAACAATGATCATAAACCAGATATTGGCAAGCTTCTTTTGTAGAGGGCCAGATGATGGCAGTGTTGGCTTTGTAGACTCCTGGTCTCCATGACAGGGATGCAGCCACAGACGTAAACAAAGGAGCGAGGTGGAGTTCCAGCCAGGTCTTATGTACAGTCGTTCACATTTGGAATTCGTAAAATTTTCAGTGTCATGAAGTAGAATCATTTACTTTTTCAGCCACTGAAAATATGAGAATTATTCTCAGCTCATGGGTCATATAAAAACAGATAACAGGGCAGATTAGGCCCATTTGGTACAGCTTGCCGGCTGTGGTGCAGGATGGAGCTTGGAGTGGTTCTGTAAGTTTGCAGAGTGGAGGGCCTGTGCTTCATCAGTGACCTTTTAGGTTACCTCTGTTTTCTTGACCTGTGGTTTGGGAAACTGCACCTATATGCATCTCTGTATTTGTCTGAATCATTCATTCATCCAACACATTTATTTCAAGCCTACTGTTGGCTCCAACACCCCTCTAAACACCGTGGCTCTTGTAGACACAGAGTAGACCTAAGTCTGTCCCGGACTTTCCTTTCCTTTCCTTTCCTTTCCTTTCCTTTCCTTTCCTTTCCTTTCCTTTCCTTTCCTTTCCTTTCCTTTCCTTTCCTTTCCTTTCCTTTCCTTTCCTTTCTTTTAGAAATTTTGTTAATTTCTTTACTTTTTAATTTTTTTGATAATTTCATATATTGTGTTTGCTGCCCCCTTGTCCTCTCTTACCTCCCTCCCTATTCCTACTGACTTCTTCCCAGGTCCTCCTGTTTTCCTGTCCTTTCTTGTTTTTTTGACTCATGGAATTTAATTAGGGCTGTCTGTGTGAGTATGGGTATGGACTGTTTACTGGAGCATGGGCAACTTAACAATGGCCACACCACTGAAGAAAATGACTTCTTCTTGGGGAACCACTAGCTGCCAGGAGCTCCTCAGAGGTCCCTGGTGAGCCCCTCCCAGATCCCTGCTGGGTTTTGACAAGCTTGCTCTTTGCAGGCCTTGTATGGATGGTCTCCATGTGTCCATGACTGCTGTGGCTCGGCGTGGCATAGTATGTGTGGCTCTGCCATGTCCAGAAGACGGTTCTGTGTCTGTCTGCACCACGGTTGTGCTGTTTGTGGCTGAGCATGCTGTTCTCACTTATTCTAGGTACTTTGGCAAGTTGTGAGACTGTGCATTAATTGCCACCCACTGCAGAAGAAGCTCCTCTGACCGTGGCTGAGAGCAGCACAAGTCTATAAATATAAACACAAATGTTTAGAAGGTGATGTGGTAACAGGTCCAGTTAGCACAGCAGTTCTCAACCCCCACAGGGGCTGACTATCAGATATCCTGGATATCAAATATTTACATTAGGATTTGTAATAGCAGCAAAATTACAGTAGTGAAGTAGCAATGAAGGTAATTTTATAATATGTCACCACAAGATGAGGAACCTTTTTGAAGGGTTGCAGCATTAAGAAGGTTAAGAACCCCTGCTGTAGCAGAACATTGGTAGTTTGAGTCTTCCCAGAGGCCTGTGGTTTACAGCAGAACTTATCCCTAAATTCTGACCTGGTGTGTCCCTGCCTCCGTCCAAACACACGGTATCAGTTTCCTGTGCATCCTTCCAGGTACCCTGCCCGTACACAAAAGTTTGCAGGACACAGTCTTTCTCTTTACTCACGTTTAGTGCAGCTGTCAGATCAGAAGTGAGGGGGACGCCTTGTGCATCTCCAGGGATAACATTGCCCAGCCCCAGGGGCACCGTGATTGGAGCTCTCAGGGTAAGCACTGCGGTACTGCATTTGGTTTTCAGAGGCCGCATACATTTGTAGATGTGGGATCTGTTAAAAAACCAGAGGTCTGGGTGCAGCGGTGCACACCCTGCACAGGGGAAGCAGAGGCAGGTGGATCTCTGAGAGTTTGCAGGCAGCCTGGTGGACAATAGTGCATTCTAAGCAGGTCAGGACTACACGCATACATACATGCATGCACACAGCAATAACAAAACAAAAAAGAACAGAGAAAACAAGGAGCTTCATGAGCAGGGTTGGTGATCTTTATCATACTTTCCTTGGGGAGTCTTGTGTGTGCGTGTTGGCTGCAGATGTGTTATAATGGTCTTGGCTGTTTTAATTCTCCACTGTTCAGTTGTTTAAAATTGATTTCTTTTTTCACCAGACGCCCTCCTGCCAAAAGGCCCAACTATGTTAAGTTTGGCACGTTGGCACCTTTCTGCTGTCCCTGGGAGCAGCTGACTCAGGACTGGGAGTCCCGGGTTCAGGCCACAGAGGCATCTCCTATAACCTCAGTACCTGGTGCTCAAGACAACCCAAGACAACTCGCAGTGTCCTGTGTCTCTGAAGAGCTCTGCCAGTCTAATGAGGCAGATATATCAGAAAACCACCCCACAAAGCCAGAAGACACAGGCTGTCAAGCACAGGCAGGGACCGAGATGGTCTTAGAGCACAGTGCCAGTGAGAGCCACGCCGCTGCCGCTAGCTGGCTCTGTGTTCTGCGGTAAGTGCAGGCAGCTGCCACATCCATTGAACTGTTCTCTGTACTGAAGTGCTCCTGTATGCTGATTGGTGCCTTTCTGAGAAAGGGAGCTGGTTCTTTGATGTGTGATAGGCGGCCTAGGGAAGCAGTTTTTGATTTGAGACATGATACTAACCGATGAGATGATTGGAAATATTGTACTAAACCAGGGACCCCGATGGGTGACAAGCCTCTGTTTTGAGTTAGCCTCTCCAGTTCTTGGGAATTAGTGGGTGTGGGATGGGCCGTCAGTCATTCATTGTGGCATGGGGATGCTGCAGCGTCCATGTGCAGGGAGCATGGTGATGCTGCAGCGTCCATGTGCAGGGAGCACTGCGTCCATGTGCAGGGAGCACAGTGACGCTGCAGCGTCCATGTGCAGGGAGCACCGCCCTTGATGCTGCTGTGGACTCAGCTCCGCTTCTCAGCATGCTGTGACGTGCTCCCATTTGAATAGTGCTCCTCTTTGGCCTCATTTTATATCCTTCTTTGTCCTTAAACTCTATCTGCTTGCTTTAATTATATCCCTAAGATCTGTCTTATTTTTCTATAAGCCTTATTTTTTTTTCTGCACCAATTCTAAAATTTTTGTTTTTAAGTTTGGCACAGTTTAAGTTTTTCAGAATGGCAGGCACATGAAAAGAGGAATGTTAGTTATAAATAAATATATCGTATGCTTTAAATGTTTTTTAATTATAATTTTATATGTCTGTTACTTCAAGTAGGAGTAGGAAATTACTGAAGCAACTCTCTGCTTGGTGTGGGCCCAGTTCTGAGGCCAGGCGGGCTCCCTGCAGTGGCCAGCGAGAACTGACCAGAAAGGCCTACTTGTCCATTCTGGATGATTTCCCCAGAGCCCTGGTGTGGGTCAGCCTGTCCCTGCTCAGAAAGGGCAGCCCTGAGCCTCGCGCCATGATCTGTGTCCCGTCCAAAGAGGACCTGCTCCAGCTCAGTCAGAATTCTTGTTACCATGGACCCGTGGAATCAAGACACAGCGACCCATTCAAAAGCCTGATTCTGAAAGAGAAAGAAAAGAAGAAAATGGAGAAGAGGCAGAGCCGAGAGCTCGCTGCCTCCACGGGCCTGGCAGCCGGGGCGCCCACAGCTGAGCAGGAAGCTCTGATAAGGGGGCTTTGGTCCGGCCCCCTCCCGGGACTGACGTCACACTGCTCCAGAGTCCTCCTGGGCTTCGTCACACAGGGGGATTTCTCTATGGCCGTGGGCTGTGGAGAAGCCTTGGGGTTTGTTAGATTGACTGGCTTGCTGGAAATGCTGTCCAGCCAGCCGGCAGCCACAAGGGGCCTGGTGCTGCTGCGACCACCCGCCTCTCTGCAGTATCGGTTTGCAAGAATTGCCATTGAGGTGTGAATTCGGGTTCTATGGAATCTGTGCCTGGCTGGACATGGAGCGCAGCTGTTTTTGTTGACTCCCGTGGGAGTCTTGGCTGCTTTTGTCGTCTGTTACAGTGTGCAGCTTGAAACAAGAATTAAAATGATACAGTTATGTGGATGGCAGTCGGTTTACCTTATCTTAATAATCTGTTCCCATCTTTTCCTTACCCGGAATATGTTCAGTTGTTTAATGTGTTAGATGAACACTTTGTATTAAAGTAATGTGACCCACCCCAGATCCCCATGTGTCGCCTCCCATGCTGTTTTTGTTATGAACAAAAAGCTGAGAGGTCTCTCTGAAAAATATTTCAGTCATATGGTATGTAACTATGACCGTTGACAAGTTTGACTCAAGAGTCTAGGGAACTGGGTAATCAAGCTTTTGCACGGATGAGGCCCTGGGTACGAGCCTAGCTCGCATCAGAGAGCTGAGGAGACAGGCAGACACCGTAAGTGCCTGGCTTCTGCCCTCGAGGGCCAGACCGTGTGGGCTGTGCGTATTATATCCTGGTGAACTGAGTATCTTATTCCATAAAGAAGTCACAGGTTGGTGCTTGTTGTCAGGAGGGCTGGGTGTGTGACAGGGTGTTGGGGGGGGCGGTCTATGTTGCTTTTTTTTTTTTAAACACCGTGGGATACACTTTTGGTGAGAGTGTCAACACTGCCTTGGCAGATGCGACACCAGTCTTTTGCCGGAGAGCATTCCGGGTATTGAAATCCTGGGTACTGAACAGCGGCTGCAGCTTGGGTGGCTGCCACTCTCCTAACATCATCTATGACATCAACGGTGGTACAGTGGACTGCCCAGCCAGTTAAGAAGCAGCAGGAGAAAATATTTCAATAAAATAAACCACCTGATTAGCTGTTGGTGGTGGTGCACACCTTTAATCCCAGCACTCCGGAGGCAGAGGCAGGCGGATCTCTGAGGCCAGCCTGGTCCACACAGCGAGTTCCAAGACAGCCAGGGCTACAAAAAAACAACAAAATTAGCCGGGCGGTGGTGGCACACGCCTTTAATCCCAGCACTCGGGAGGCAGAGGCAGGCGGATCTCTGTGAGTTCGAGGCCAGTCTGGTCTACAAGAGCTAGTTCCAGGACAGGAACCAAAAACCATGGAGAAACCCTGTCTCAAAAAAAAAAAAAAAAAAAAAAAAAAAAAAAAAATTCAACTGGCAAATAACAAAAAACCCATTGTTTTTACAGATGATTTTTGAGGGCCATAAAGGTTTTTCAAGATATGTTCTGTTAAATATGATAAGCAAAAACACTTCTTTTTGTAGTGAGTATTTCTGGAAACTCTCATGTTGTCGTGGACATTGGGAGTCTCCAGACAGTAGGTGAGAATGCATAATAGTTTCCAACTTTTTGATTTTTCTTTTAAGGAACATTTTGTAGGACTAGTTAATAATGACACTGGGACACACAACAGCTATCTCAGCAGGGTGGTGGGAACAGCAGACCACCCCCGTGCAGTCAAAGTGTTCAGTTGAGGTCTTGAAAGGGGCCCAGAAAGAGCCCTTTGGTGAAGCGTGAACCTAATTAGTCTCAATCAATAAAAACCTGGAGTCAGCTATTGGGGAAAGCTGTGAGAGAAGCAGAGCAGCTGCCACCAGAGACCTGAATGGGTGGCTACCCTCTCCACCTCTCTAGTTCTGGGATTAAAGGTGTGAGCCTCCGTGTACTGGGATCAATAAGTGTGAGCCTCCGTGTGCTGGGATCAATAACTGTGAGCCTCCACTGCCAGGTTCTGTTTCTTTTAGGACTGGTTCGATCTAACGTAGCTCAGGGTGGCCTTGAATTCCTGATCTCCCTTGGTCCTTCTCCCAAGTACTGGGATTAAAGGTGGAGCCACCACTGCCTGGCCTCTAAGGTTAGCTAGTGGCTAGCTTCACCTTCGATCTCCACGCAAGCTTTATTTGTCAGAACACAAACAAAATATCACACAGCACTTTGGTGCTCTTAGTAAGTGCTCTTTAGGGCTCTTTCACGGGAGATCTTTGACAGGGTGGGGGGGGGGGTTGGAAAGAAGACAGGCCTTGCATTCGAAACTGGAGCCACGGAGATGGCTGGTGTCCCTCTCACCAGCCTCGTTAGTGCCCAACTCAAATGAGCTGGGAAAAAAAATAGTGTAAGTGGTGTCTGTAAACAGAAAAATAATACCTGATGTTAGTAGTTACTGGGCCATTGCATGTTTGCTTCCTAGGCTGTTTGTCACTTGGTTGCTTAGTGGTTTCCATGGCAACAAAATCTGAGTGTGTCTAGTGGCCACCCAGCTGCGTTCTGCACAGTGCTCTGCCTGCTGCCCTTGTTCTCTGGACGGCCCCATTAGCAGTCGCTCTGCTTTGTGGGTGGTAGGTCAAAGAGCCATGTGGTGAGAGCACAGGCCAGCCCTTCCGGAGCGCTGGGCCTGGGAAAAATGTTCCCTTTACCAAGTCAATCTGGAAGGAGCTGTGTTCCACTGCAGATTACAGTGCACATTCGAATAGCAGAGACTCTGCAGAGAAGAATTCTCTTCCGGGACCTTTTTCCCACCCCCATGTCTATTGTCCAGAGAACACAAGTTTTCTGGAATATTCTTTGAAAAAGTGAAGATCCAGCTCCCTCAAGAAAAAGACTTATTAGGATTGCTGTTGGCTATAGCAACAGAATTGATTGATAGAGCCATGCAGCTATGGGATAAGTGGCTATGGTTTCTGTTCTCTTATTGAGGAGGCAATAATATCATGGTCCACAATTCAAGCAGTGTCCCAAAGGCTGTAAGTTGAACACTCAGGTCAATTACACATGTGGGACACAGAATTAGTTCAGGGAGATTTTTCATTCCATTTTTGGGGAAGGTGTGTATCCTATAGTCCTGGCTATCCTGGAACTCTATGTGGATCGACCTCAGAGGTCCAACTGCTTCTGCCTCCTGCGTCTTGGGATTAAAGGCATCACTGATCATTTCCAGCTTCTGGGGGATATTCTTTCAAATATTTCATGATGCGGTGGTTAGTGTTAATGTCAAGATCTGGTCAGTTTGGAGACAAGCCTGTACGCATTAGGTTAGCTTCCAGATTTGCCTGGGTGAGGGTTACCTAGGTCAGGTTAGCTGAGGTAGGCAAACCTGCCCATGTGGGTGGTACCATAGCCCGCGCTGGGACCCTGGACTGTGTGAGAAGGAAGATCTGAGCCGCAGCACAATCCCCATTCTTCCTGAGTGCGAATGGGTACGATCAGATGCTTCACGCTCTGCTGCCTTGACTTCCCTGAACTGTGAGCTGGATGAAGCCTTTCTCCCGTAGCTTGATTTTGTCAAGGTAACGACAGCAACAGGAAAAGTAGACCGTGAATGCAAGTCAGCTGTTTTCATCTTAAAGGGAAGACAGTAGCAATAACAAGTATCTTCTGGTGGTTTGAAGCAGAGTCTTCCCATGTAGTCCTGGCTGACCTGGATCTGCCTATGTCGCCCCAGCTAGCCCTAAGTTTTGCAGCGGTTTTCTTGCCTCAGCTGTGAATGGTTGTGTCTGGCAGAATTTTTCTTTTCCCAGGCTTGGCCTCAAACTCTGGCCTCCCAAGCCTTTTGATTTCTTGTACTGCTGCACCTGGCTAACAACACCGTAATTTTAACCACACTGACTTTCACCACTCAGATGAGAACTTCTGCTAGCTTCCTGTAGCTATCCAGGATAATAAGATATAGATGAGGGGGCAGGGTTTTTTTTGTTGTTTTTGTTTTGTTTTGTTTTTGAGACAAGGTTTCTCTGTAGCTTTGGAGCCTGCCCTGGAACTAATTCTTGTAGACCAGGCTGCCCTCGAACTCACAGAGACTGGCGCCTGCCTCTGCCTCCTGAGTGCTGGGATTAAAGGTACATGCCACCACTGTCCGGCTGAGTGAACATCTTTTTTTTTTTTTTTTTAAAGATTTATTTATTGTGTTCACTGTGTTCTGCCTCCATGTCTGCAGGCCAGAAGAGGGCACCAGATCTCATTACAGATGGTTGTGAGCCACCATGTGGTTGCTGAGAATTGAACTAAGAACATCTGGAAAAAAAGACAATGCTCTTAACCTCTGAGCCATCTCTCCAGCCCTTGAGTGAACATCTTTTAAGAAAAAAAAAAAGTAGAGGCTGGAGAGAAGGCTCGGCAGTTAAGAGCACTGACTGTCTTCCAGAGGACCCAGGTTCAATTCCCAGCACCCACATGACAGCTCACAGTTGTCTGTAGCTCCATTTCTAGTGGATCTAACACCCTCACACAGACATATATGGAGGCAAAGCACCAATGCATGTAAAATAAAATAATTAAAAAAAGTAGGTTTGATAATTAGTTAAACAAAGCCTATGCCCACATGGTAGAAAGAATTGACCCTCAAATGTTGTCTTTTGACTTCCACACTTGCTTGCACAGGTGGCCAAACTCAATTCAAAGTATTTCCAGTCTCTCGCTGCACCCTTTCAAAAAGCTGACATTTAACCGGACTGTGTTCCAGAGGACTCCCCATCTGTGTGCTCATTTATGGAGTCTCCTAGTTTTGGTCCCCTGGGCCTTGCTCACAGTGTTCTGGACAAACAGGGCTTTCTGCTCCTTCCACGGCCGCTTGAGAGCTTGACCCCCCAATGACTCTGCACAGACCAGCTCTGTTTTCACAGAATTCTCAACCAGCTCCATCCCACCCTTCTGAGCTTGGCTTTCATGGCCTTATCTGCCGCTTCTTTTAAATTATGTTACAGACAGCGGTAGTGCATGCTTGCGATGCCCCCACTTGGGATCCTGAGGCCAGAGGATGAAGGGGTCGAGATTTTTCCCAAGCTGCTTAGTGAGATCCTGTCTCAAAACACAAAACCAAAGCCACACCTCTGCCTACATCATCCCCCGGGCCACGATAATTTTACTTCCTGGTGACATCACACTGTGTAATAACTAATGACTGCATTGTGTACTTGTCTGACTCTTACACACCAGCCCAGCTCTGCCTAATCCAGCTTTGTTGAATTGAAGTGTTAATTGATCAGAGTGTTTATTTTAGGGTATTTAAACTTGTAGGCCAGATAAAAGTGGTAATGAACAAATTAGCCACTAGGGGGCAACAAGACCTCATGAGAAAGCATAGACTGTGGTTTAAAAAAATTAAATTACAATTCTGTTGTATAATATCCTGTATGAGGGACATTTGTGAGTTTTAGCTCAATCAGTACTCCACCTTTTAGGGAGTAGATCAACTTGAGAAAAATCCTAATTGACAAGGCTTTGCTGTTTA